CCCCAAAACCCCAAAACCCCAAAACCCCAAAACCCCAAAACCCCAAAACCCCAGTTGGAGGAGGGGTGTTGAAAATATGGAATTTGGGAAGGAAATGGGGCTTAAGGGGATTTTGAGGGATTTTAAGGGGGTCTTGGGGCTGGGGGTGCTGGGAAAGGAGCTTAAGGGGTTATTAGAGGAGTAGAGCGCAGAGTTGGTGTTTTAGAGCGGTTTTAGGACATGGACTTAAAGATGATTTTTTTGGGGGTTTTATTGGGATGAAGTTTATAGAAGGATGATGGATAAGTCCATGAGTTTGGTAGATAGCACCAAATCTGTTACATTTGACAATGCATTGTAAGTGATAAAGATTTGCAATATTTCTAGAATATTGTAATTAAAATATTTTTCTAAGAATAATTAATTTCTTTTGATTAAAACTATGTCCTTGCAGTCAATTCATTGAAATAAGTGTCTAAATGACTATGTTCTCCTCATAAAACATTTATAACAATAAAATGTTTCTAATATTAAACATATGCAAAACTAAAGGTTGATCAAAGCTATTTAATACAGAATTTTCTAGATTATTTAAGAGTTTGAAGAACCATATCGTTGATATAAATATTTCTACCTAAGAATTTTATGCAAGCTTATCCATCTTGCGCTAAAAATAGTGTAAAAAGTAACTATTAGGACAAAATTTCTCTGTGAATAGTCATAAGAATTAATCTTCTTAGTTATCTGAGTGTTCAGAGATTTCAACCTTATCTTCTATAGGTTCATCCTCTGCTATCTCCTCTTGCTTCTCTGAAATTTCATCGTTATCACTTTGAGGTTCAGGCTCAGGCTCCTTTGGAGGAGGGACTTCTTTCTTGACCTCCTCTACTATTTCTTCCTTCTTCTCCTCCTTCACTTTTGGGACCTTCTTTTCCTCTTTAGGCATAGTTGTAGTTTTCGGCTTCTCTATTTTGGCAGCTTCTCCAAATGATTGGTTTGTCTTAGTATCCTTCTTTGGACTCATTTGGAAGTTAGAGCTTGCAGCAGTATTTCTCATCCTGTTATGTTCAGGAGAAGCAGGCTTTCTTTGATAGAATCCTTGCTTGGAAGAATTCTCTATTTCTTCAAGTTTATTTTATTTCATTCTCTTGTTTCTGATAGGTATTCTTCAGTCTGTCAATTATCTCTTTTTCTTTCTTTTCTAGGGACTTTAGGAGCTTAAGATTCTGGTTTAGCTCTTTCCCAGTATCATTGACTCTCTTCTTGTAGAAATTTTTAGTTGTGCTCTGCTTTTCTTGCTCAATTTTAGTAAGTTTGTTGATCATCTTATGTCTGGATTCTTGAGCTTTCTTGTTGATCTCATCCTTCTCCTTCTGAGTTAACTGTCTATATTCATCTACTGCTTTAAGATTGGCTTGTCTCTCCTTGAGGGCTTGATCTCTTCTCATTTTATTGGCAAGCTCAAAGTCTTTCTTATTCTTTAAGATTTTCTCTTGTCTCTCTTTACGTTCTTTATTAAATCTTTCTCTTTTGGCCTCTTCTTCCTTTCTCTTGGCTTCTTTGATCTTCGCTTTTTTCTTAAGTTCTTCTTCGTGTCTCTTCTTGGCTTCCATCAACTTGAGTGATTTCTCTTGAGTTTGTTTGATGCTTTTTCTTGCTCTCTCTTCTTCGAGTTCAAGCCTTTTTATTCTGTTAAGCATGAGCTGGACTTCACTTTCTGCTATTTTCTTTTCTTGCTTTTTATTTTTCCAACTCTAAAGGCTCTATTTCGGTATCTACAAAGGATTAGGAAGGAAATACCTTTAGTAATTTGCTTCCTGAGAGAGGTTGGGGGTACTTCATCTTTGCTGGTCATTGCTACATCCTTCTGGGAGATATCTTTACCTTCAGACATTCTCAAATAAAAATTATTAAAATTAAGAACCCCAGTTCAATAATTGAGCAACCACTAGGGGTTTTGGGGTTTTGGGGTTTTGGGGTTTTGGGG